TCCCGCCACAAAATGACCCATTCTGGGGAAAGACCCCACAGCTGTAAGATTTGCGGGAGGCGTTTTAAACTTCCTGGGACTCTGAGGCAACACGAGAAGATTCACACAAACAGAGAGAGGTCATACCTCTGTGACATTTGCTGCAAAATGTTCCTGACTAGTGCGCAGCTGGAGATCCACATGAGGATTCACACCAACGAAAAGCCGTATCACTGCAGCGAGTGTGGCAAGGGATTCAGCACCAAAGGCCCGTTGACCGTTCACAAGCGGGTCCACAGCGGGGAGACGCCCTACCACTGCCCAGACTGCGGCTGGTCCTTCAAACGCAAGACCAACCTAGACAACCACTTAGTGCTTCACTCGGGTATCAAGCCATTTGTGTGCGGTATTTGTGGGAAAGCTTGCGCACGAAAAGAATACTTGACTGTTCACATGAGGACCCACAATGGAGAGAGACCATACAAGTGTGCCCTCTGTGACAAAGCTTTTACTCAGAGTCATTGTCTAAAAACACACATGAAGAGCCACCAGGCGCCAGGATCTGCAACGTAACACTTAAAAGTTCTGGTTTGTTTTTTTGTTTTTAAACATCCACACGTCCATTCTCTCTTCAGCTTATCAAATTCAGAGGTTGCAAGGGGGCTGGAGCCTATCCCAGCTACCGTAGAGTGAGAGGAAGGGTACATCCTGGACAGCTCATTAGCCTATCACAGGCTGTTTAAACAGAACAGTGAAAGTTAACTTATTTGCCTTAAGCTTTATTTATTGTTGTTTTACTTTTTACAGTAATAAACCTGTACATGTATTACCCCTATGAGACATCTCTAATAAAACCTTTGCTACAATCTGTCGTGTATTGTGTAACTTTCAGTGTTGCTGCACTTACAACAGAGCATGTGCAGTGCTTTTAAGGCTGTCACCCTGTGACATAAAATAAATTTGTATAGTAATGCTAGTAAGATTTATAAAATGACAGCCACTTTTTAGACTTTATTAGCCTAAGTCACAGAGCTCCTTTAGGTGTTTAACCTAGCTTCTTAGAAATTCCTTTACATTGTGTACTGACCTCTGGATATTTTTTAGATTTGAACAGGCAGCAGCCGTGTGGCTCCATTGTGTACTGGTTTAAACACTTGCTGGTCCAATTCTATGAATCTCCTTTGGGGTTTTGTCAGGAAGTAAAACTGCCAAATCAAGCAGAGCTCCCGACTGTGATAAGGCTGTGACCTAAAGTAGCTTTGTATAGGATGCAGTAGTGGTGCAACGGATCACGGTTGATCCGAAATCTGAACCGATCCCACTCCACGGTTCGGCATGCACGTGATCCGAAGATTCGAAAAAGAAAAAGAAGGTATGTGTATGGTGCGCGTGGTCAGTCTGTCAAGCGGTAGTTATGGTCAGCGCTAGTGGTCCAAGTGGAGGAGCAGAGGAGTTTGCGGCATTTAAGCAGCCCTTTGCTGCCCAATCCATCCAGGCTAAAGCTATTACAAAAGCTATTGGGGTGTTTAGCTGCAGACGGAAGGCCGTATTCCGTTGTGCAAAACAAGGGGTTTAAACTATGATGAACGTGCTTGAGCCACGCTATGATATCCCGTTGCGCGTCCACTTCAGTGTGACAAGATCGTTCCAAGCATGTATGAGCAGGAGAAGTTTAAAGTTATGGCTGAACTGTCCCAGGCATCTTCTGTTGCTATAACTACAAATGGGTGGACCTCCAGGGCAACGGAAAGCCACGTGACCGCTCGTTATATCAGAGCGGAGTAGATACAAAGCCCTGCACTGCCCTATAGATTACATTAGATTAGATGAAACTTTATTTATCCGTCGGGTGGGTTCCTCCGGGAAATTCAGTTTCCAATAGCACAGCACCGACAGAAGTTGCCGAATGTGAGCAGAAATATACCACATATACACATATATAAATACAGAGAATACAAAAGGGATAAATAGGAATAAGAATACAAGGGAACGGCACATTTCAAGTATTGTGAGTCTATTACACCGTTGGTTATTAACAAAAACTATTGCACAGTGAAAAGGCACTACAACTACTTGTTCCCCCCTCCTTTGTCCCCGTTTCCCCTCCCTCTCCCCTCCAGCGAGGAGTTAAACAGTTTGATGGCGTGTGGGACAAAGGAGTTTTTAAGTCTGCTGGTCCTTGACTTTGGGAGAAGCAACCTGTCACTGAACAGACTCCTCTGGTTGTTTATGGCCATGTGCAGAGGATGCCCAGCATGGTCCATAATGTCCATATTGCACCTTAATTTGGTTTTATATAAGTGCGTGGAATGAGTCTTCAGTTGAATGTTTTTTAATAGGCAAAAAATACTTAAATAACTAAATGGCGAGTCGAATTTTTGTCTTTTTTTTTCTATTTTTGCTGATCAGAAAATTGATCTGATCCGTGACTTAAAACTGTGATCCGATCCGAACCCCGAGATTTTTGATCCGTTGCACCAATAGGATGCAGCCACTCAAACTTGCGATCGTCACGTTTCCACCATTAAATTAATCAAAATTGAAATTTCATCCACAGGCATCAAAAGTAAAGCAGGCAGTGCTAAAGTAAAAATAGATCCCCTTTTGAGAGTTGCAGTAAAACTCTTGAGTATAACTGGGATTTTGATCACTAGGTTTCTAGGTTGTGATATGAAAAACTAGTTCCTAACACAACTACAACTAGTGTTGTGTTTCCTTCACCAACCTAACACAGAGATCCAATAAGATAAGGAAGTGGGCAGTATAGTACAATATGTGTTATTTTGTACTGTACTGCCCAAACTAAAGATGTGCTTAAGTGTTTTAAATGATGAAATGATTCATATGTTTATTTTGGACAATACAGCAGAAGATCAGATATGAAAGTGGAGAGAGAGAACTCAGAAAGGGTCAGATGTCAGACTCCACCTGGGCCACTGTATTCAACAATGAGCCAATGATCATCTTGTTAAGTAGTGAGCAAAACCAGAGCCCTAACGTTATGACATTTATCACGAAGTTATAACAAATGTCTACTGATGACTTCATCTCATGAAATGACTGATACATATAAATTCATCAGCTGAGCTGGTGATGATGATCTTCTTCATCGTGCACAGAAACACTCAGCTTGTTTAAATATCAAATAACTCTGATTACTCTCATTTTGAACTTTTCCCACTCAAAATGCTGTTAGAACAATTATAACTTAAAAAAAATATCGCGTGTTGATTTTCCACATGTAAGATACTAATCAGCAAACATACAGAAACTTCCTTCGTCCACTCTCTGTGTCTAAGCCACATGAAACACAAAACAACAATATCTTATTAACATGGTTTTCAAT